ACGCAGACAACTCCATTTAAGGATAAACACATTTATAATTAACGCTAAGTTAACAACAACCAATCGTGTTAGCAAATTTAAAACACGCTGGTTTCAATAAAATTCATTTTTAAAATAGATGGTTTTCCCAGTTCGTGAAATTAAAAACGTGTATTAAAATGCCCCCAATATTTACTTGTGACGTAGGAATTCAGAATTATTTTACAGGACTATTAATTTGGCTTACATTTAGAAAAAAATTACGTAGTCATATTTTCAGTCAAAAAAAATTAGATTTTTTTCGCAATCCACACAAAGAAAGTATTGGTCGTAGTCCAAATTTATTGGCAAGCATTTGGGACATGTCCAATTTGGACATCCGAAAGTGTCGCAACCAATCCACAACATTTTCTCTTGTTGAAATTCGTCATTCCAGTCCCCGTCGCAAATGTGGCATTCATCATTGCCTTTCCAGTCAATCGACGATTCATTTTCATAACTGGAAGTTGATGCATGTACATTTTTAGTAGCGGCAGGTTTAATTCTATACTTTCGTTTCGAATTATTTTTTGCTTGCACTCGATATCGCAAAATTCTGATTCGCTGTTGTTACCCGCGCTTTTGTTTTAACACGAAGAGGTCTATTTTTCAAAATGATCTCTTTGGGTGACGTGGAAACATCTCTCAGCTCCGCGGACACCAGACCAAGACTGACAAATGAATGCTGTTAATGAGATGGTCCAGATAAATCGCCCTCTTCATTTAGCTCAGTTTGCGTAGCTATCTCATTCGCTATTTACTACGGAGACGAATGTTCAGACAAATCAACATCAGCCCAAGGAGTTTTTCGAAATACTTTGGACTTATTGGTGGCATTCGTGTTGAAAAGAAAAATGCCACATGCTTTGAAACCTCTCACGATATTGTGCATGCTTTTTTAAAATGGGATTTCCGGCAGTTTTTCGCGATCCGCAGTGCACCACGAATGGCTTAGTCGGAATTTAAAAATGCGGATACAATAGATTTTAGACTTTCAAAGGTTGGGACACACGTGTGGTAGCCTATGGGGCACTAATGCCATTAAAGTTACATTTTCTCTTTCGGCAGCTTTTATTAGTTCTTCAGAATGATGATACACGTGGCCATCTAATAAAAGTTATATGGGATTATCAGGGCTCCTACCCGATGGAATATGCTTGATGAATAACAGCTCAAACCATTTGAGCATCAATTCTTAATCCGACAACACCGATTTAGCATAAGCAGCGCCATGAGGTCCGTTCTTGGCACAATCGAATTTGCACATGATCTTCACTTTGAGTTTTCACAATTTTTCCCAGTTCCAATATCGTTCGCCCAAGCATGTTTTTTAACTATGCTGTCTATTGTAAGTGGAAACGCTCGCTAAGCCAGATATTCAATGTATCACATTAGCGAGCTTTATTTTCATTTCCTCACTGTTCTTCCAATTTGCTCTCTTCCTCGCGTATCGAGGTTTTGCCATCCTTAATAATTTGGTTGACCGTTCCTCTAACTGTCACCTCCTCTATCTTTTGAAACAGCACGATTTTGATTTAACGCAGCAAAAGGTCCTTCTACTGCAAAAGCAACGAATAACAAACGTCCCTGCCAAACCCGAACCCTTTGGCAGACGACCGTTTGCCAATAGGGTTCATTGCGTCATTTTGTTTTTCAGATACCGTGCGTTAAAAGTGGGTAGGCAGAGTTTGCTGGGGTGGAGGTAATATGGGCCTTGACGTTAGGAGTTTTCAAAATATTCAATATGTCTTGCTTCACTCTTTATCATGAAATGTATACCTTGAGGCTCCATTTGCAGAAGTATTAGTCTTATTCGAGGACAATATATAAATATCGTAACGTACCAGTGCCATGAAATCTGACTCTAATTTTCGCACGAACACTTCGATCGAAGATTCCAACTACGCGACGCTAATGAGTATAAATACCAATAAGTTTGAAAAAGATTGTATGGGGAGAAGATATATTTATTCTCGTTTAAACCTGGCTCAATCGTCAATTAAAAATAATGCAAAAAACTTATTTCGCACAAAATATAGGTGTCTTATAATTACGTCTTCCCATTTACACACTGGGGGGAGCGGCTAAGGGGTTGAGTACATTTTTGTATGGGCGAAATAGTTGGCCTCAGTAGTAAGCCACCACACCACGCCAAGGTGCCAACCTTCGTGGTGGTTTTCATCTCGAACTGGCGACAATCGAGAGAGAAAACCCTTAACTTTGGCATATATTGCAAAAGATAAAATTGACTGATCATTTGCGTGTCCATGAAGCCGGTGGATCTGAAAAATAATTGGAGTTGGGCATATGGTGAAAAAAATTTAGCATTGTTTGCACTTCTCGCAATTCCATTCAATTTTGTGCCTTGGTTGGCACAGGACAGGAGTATTGCAACATTCCGGTTGGTACCATTCCAAACACGAAGTACATTCATAGTCTGATTTTGTATGTAGGGCAGTTGCAAAAAATCTAAATATCCGTAAATTTCGTATTAGTTTACTGTGGTTTCGGTCGATGGAAAAATCTAGATCCTCTTGTCTAATTGACTCGCATTTAGCTATGCAAAAACTTAATACAAATGGCATATCTGTCTTTTGCCGTGTATTTTATGTACGAACTATCATAAATTTGAATGATATTCTAATTAAACGACAATATGTTTGACGCCGCTACCCAGTCATCAAAAAGCAGAATTTGAATGAATTTTCTGAATGTAGCGTAGACTGTATCTGCGCCGTACTATGAAGGCCGTCAGCATTCGGGATGACAAAATTAGTGATGCGGTATTCATGATGTCCAATGTGAACCAATCCCTTCGAAAATTAGTATTTCCGAATATTTTAAAGTCAACATTAGACATATGTACCAAGTTCCAAAAATCAATTTTAAGAAGACGCCTCAGAGATGATTTTTTTCCAACATATCTTTATCGAACAATTCTTTTGAGCGATATGCTTTCAGACGTTTAGATGGTGGCTGTGAATATATACCTTTTGATTTATCACTACCCTGATTTCTACATCTCTTACCCCATTTTTCAATCAATTTGGTCATTCTTTCTATCCTACTATTTTTGGTACGAATAATCAAATTATTTGGATATTCCCTAATTAGGGAATCGTGAAGTGGATCATACACCACAGCGATCTCTCAAGACGTTTAATTAAACCTCCTGTTGTTGAATCGAGCACGCTTTAGCTCCTGTTGACTTTTCTCCATGATTCCCTGTGTTCAATTATCTTTTGCTAAGTTCTGTTTGTTACAGACCGAAGATTTTGCACACTTTTTCATGGTTTGGCAAATTTGCACTACCTTGAAGGACAGAATAACAGCGTGATATGTAGGGCTGTAGGCCTTTCGCGCATGTTTACTTGTATTATTGATTTAGTGAGGGCCATACTACTATCACATATAAAAATCTTTGCAGGAAATCGTTTGGTCAATTTGGAAACATCAGACCGGAATTGTGACAAAAAGTTAGAAATATTTGCAATTTTGTCGTCGAGGATCTTCTCTATAGGATATTACAGATATTTTACGACTGCAGCCTGAAAAGCCAAAATGTCCACTGCAAGCGAAAACGCGTTCAGCCAAGTCTCCCAAATTTACAGTATGCCATCTAAATGCATACTAACAGTATATTATGTCACTTGTTTTAATAGCTTTTCTAATGACATAGACCAAGTCCGGATTTTTTATTCGTCTCTCAACAATACATTAAAGGTTACATCAAATATTTTTATCCATTCGAAATTTAGCTTTATATTTCAAATTCCCATGCACATTCCATTACGAAAGGTGCTTGCACTGGCTGGACTAAAAGGTTTACAGACACAAAAATCAGTTTCGTCAGAATTGAAAAATGAATTTATTTATATAAAAATTTATTTTGACTAACCTCATTTAAATCTTCTTCACTTGTTATTACGTTAGATAATTTGCATACTCTGCTGCAGCATCACGGATTGTTTTTTCAAAATTCGAATTTTTACACATAAATTGTTATGGTGAATCGCCAAATGGAATACGGTCTTTTTCGCAATTTTCACTGTTTTTCTATATCTTTGTTAGCTTGAGCATTTGCTTAAGGAAAGATTATCTAAAAGACAACAATAGTTACGAGAATAGCTGCATTCACGGAGCATTCTTAATTACTGCAAGAAAGTCAGGGGCTAAAGAAGACTTTGTCTGGGTTTAAACTCACTGTAATTCCAACGAATGTAAAATAAACTTGCTTCAGCTCTTTAATAAATAAAAATCTTGGGTAATAATCTCGACGATCATTAACTAAGTAGCGACAAGAGTCCCCACAGCCTTTATTAACGCAAGGATGCAACTTACGATAACCAAGAAGGTTCATGTCATCACCAACAATCAATTGTCGTGCTCATTGATTTATTGCGTAGATTTTGTTTTTTAAGAGTCCAGATAGAAAATTTGGCCAACACAATTTGACAATTTACTTTCCTCGGGAATAAAAATCTTTTAAATAGGTTGAGCTAGTTTGAGAAAGCAAACCTTTGTTCCCGGATATGCCAGCAGAGTCGATCGGATGAGTTGCTTGGCATATCCACGGGAATCCTTGCCATGATTCCGCCAGCCATTGCATCTCGCGATGTCATTGGTACCCAGCGCTAACAAAACGTAGTCCACGTTGGCAATGGATCAGTCTTCGAAATCTCCTTCACGCCATGACGCAACTGGCCGCCAGGCAGGCATATAGAAGATAGAGAGACCGCGATGGGGGAGAGAATCTGTATTGTAAAGAAATATCACAAACTATTTTATCACAGTACTTGTAACAAATATGCAACGTATGGCAAAATATTTATATATACACGGAGTTTTATCATGTTTTAGGTCGCAAAAGATAAGGTTCTTCACCCCGATCTTAACTTTTGAAGATCGCAATCCAGCCCGATAAAGAATTTGATTGTATTTTCTGTATTGAGTAGACATATTAGTTTGTGGCGCGTAAGATTTCAAAATTATATTGGTCAGAATTTGCAAATTGAATGATATAGATAAGTTGTTAGATTGTTATAATCAATAAGCTTACGTTTGGGTATGTGTTATTGCGGGCATTACTGTCAGACTCCACCAGAAGATGAGGAATAAAAAACAACATAAGCTAATATAAATCCAATTGAATTCGAAAAATCCAATGAAATAACGAGAAGAATACTCAAAATGCAGTAATTTATTAAACCAACTGTAAAGGAAAAATTCAAGAAATTTTTTTGTAGTTATACATTTGTTCATATTGTAGGATTCTTCCTCGTTCTCTTGGCTCGCGAATGGTCTTTCTTCCTAATGAATCCAATCCCTTTTCCTTGTCAACGTGAAAGATATTGCCATTAACCAAATGAGGGTGTAGGCATGCGAGCTTCATCAGAAACGTACAGAAAATAAAAATAGTTTTGAATAAAATAACTCAACTCAAATAACAGTTCCAGTGCAACTGTTCCATGTGAATATCACCCCACCTATTCTTTAATTTCCAATGTCCACGACGAATCTTCTGAGTCAAAAACAGATGTTCCCGAAAACAAACGTCCTCCGTTGATTTTCCACGACTGAAAAAATATGTATATATTCAAGTAAATATTTTTGTATGTAAGTAAACAGGTTTGAAATAATGAATCTAGAAAAAATACCTATGATTCCAATCTTTTCTGCGTCTTCTTTGTCATAACACATAGTAGATTGCACTAAAATAATATTGAAACATATTATGTTTGCATAAAATTGCTAGATTCTAAAGAAGGTAAAGAGGGTAGAATGATAATAGTAGTAAATCACATAATTCTTTATTCTCAAGACACTTTTGTTATTTGACCCGTCTTAGATCTCTAAATTCAGTTAGAGGTGATTATCTAGTACAGGCATGTCCAACCTTTTTAGTGTCGCGGGCCACTTTCAAATGAGGAAATTCATCACGGGCCGCAAACGTTTTTACCAAACTTAAATACCATCCAAATTCCAATTTACGTTAGAATTTGAGCGTCGCTAAATCAAACGCCTGGATTGCACAACACTTACGCGCAATACTTATGAACATACCACGCACACAAAGACCATGAACTACTCAATTTTTATGCAAAATGCGCAACTTTCAAGCAATATTATACATTGGCATAAAAATTGAAAAAAAATAAAGTCCGCAATTTCTTTTTCAACTAGTGCTAAACTTGCCTTTGAATGTCATTGCTCAAGTGTTTAATTAATATCAACGGGTAGTTTTGATACCGCACAACGTAACTGGCTTATAAAATTGTCGTTCGTCAGCTTACTCCTATGCTTAAGACTTCATAATTTTCAATTTCGAAAAAAAGATTCGCACAAATATGTTGTTGCCGGGGAAACTTATCTTCATCGATATACTGACTGTAGAATTCAAGTTTTCTATTTCTCAGAAGCAAGCGTTTCAGTTCCGTACTTAACTGGGCATCGATCAATTCAAGTTGCAATTATTCTGGGGCCTCTTCTACCCGAATGTCACATGGACACATAAAAATTTCGAAGAGACTGTCGAATTTCAATAAAAATAAAAAATGAACTGCTTTCTTCAATTCAAATTGAGTTTCATACAGTTCAAGCTTTGTGATAAACGCCTGTATATCTTCATAACAGTCTGTAATCCAATGTGTAGAAAACTCTGTCTTCACAATTGTAGAAAACTCATTGTATCGCCACAGATGTTGCACGCTTGAGTGGTCCTCTGTAAAATCATATTCTGTAGCGCCCATCGAGTCTGACAACGCTTTTCTTACATCGGAGCCGCGTGAAATTAAAGCCTGAAATCTGTTAAGATTCAATATCATACCGAGGATCTTCTCTATAGGATGTTATAGATATTTTACGATTGCAGCCCGAAAAGCCACAATGTCCGCTGCAAGCAAAAACGGGTTCAGCCAAGTCTCCCGAATTTACAGTATGCCATCTAAATGCATACTAACAGTATATGTTACTTGTTTTAACAGCTTTTCTAATGACATTGACCAAATCCGGATTTTTTATTCTCCTCCCAACAATACATTTAAAAAGATTAGACCAAATATTTTTATCTATTCGAAATTTAGCCTTATTTTTCAAATTCCCACAACTCATTGCGACAGGGCTTGCACTGGCTGGACTAAGAGGTTTAAAGACACAAAAATCAGTTTCGTCAGAATTAAAACATGAATTCGTATTTTGACTAACCTCATTCAAATCTTCTTCACTGGTTATTACGTTAGATAATTTGCTTGCTCTGCTGCAGCCAGTCAGAGTGTTTTTTCAAAATTCGAATTTTTACACATAAATTGTTATGGTGAATCGCCAAATAGAATACGTTCTTTTTCGTGATTCTCACTGTTTTTCTATCTTTATTAGCTCGAGCATTTTCCTTGAGGAAAGATCTTAGATAATATTATCTAAAAGACAACAATAGTTGATGAGAATAGCTGCATTCACGAAGCATTCGTAATTACTACAAGAAAGTCAGGGGCTAAAAAAGACTTTGTCTGGGTTTAAAATCACTGCAATCCCACCAAATGTGAAATAGACTTGCTTTAGCTCTCTAATAAATAAAAATCTTGGGTAATAATCTCGACGATCATTAACTATGTAGCGACAAGAGGAGTCCCCACAGACTTTATTAACGCAAGGGTTCAAAGCTATGTGTCATTTCAGTAATAACCAAGGGGGTTCATGTCATCGCCAACAATCAATTCTCGTGCTCATTGATTTATTGCGTAGATTGTGTTTTTTAAGAGTCCAGATAGAAAATTTGGCCAACACAATTTGACAATTTACTTTCCTCGGGAATAAAAATCTTTTAAATAGCTTGAGCTAGTTTGAAGAAACAAATATTTGCTCCCGGATATGCCTGTTGAGTCAGTCGGATGAGTTGCTCGGCATATCCACGGGAATCCTTGCCATGATTCCGCCAGCTATTGCATCTCGCGATGTCATTGGTACCCAGCGCTAATAGAACGTAGTCCACGTTGGCAAATGGATCAGTCTCCAAAATCTCCTTCACGCCATGACGCAACTGGACGCCAGGCAAGCATGGCCTATAGAAGATAGAGAGACCGCGATGGGGAGAGAATCTGTATTGTAAACAAATATCGCAAACTATATAACGTTGTTGTAGTGGAGACCTATTTGCACCCGCCTTGAAGAATCATGCGCGATCTCCCAGCTCCTAGTAACTGCACAACCAAAGTAGTAAAGAGGCAACGAGATCCTTAGAAACAAACTGAATTCATTAATCTCCACATATGAGTAAAATGTTGCTACAGCACAGAAACTTGAAGACCAGCGATAAAACTAATTTATAACGACACGGATGCACAGTTATAAATAAGCAATGGAAGAATGATAAATAACATTCACAATAACAAGTAATAATAGCCAATACTAAATAGGACCTAACTAAACTAAATTTATATGGCAGATGTCACAAAACGCGCACCCCTATGGTAAAATAAACCCAAGGCAAATCTCAATATTAAACAGACACTTTCACAATTCCACAGTGCCGTATAGAACAAAGTATCAGAAAAGCGTTATCTCAAAACCCGGGGAAAAAGTTTCACTCCTTATGTCTTCACTATGGCGCAATAATGAGTCACTGTCAACGGGAAATTAAGATAATAAAGATAGAAGAACATAATTCGTCTCGAATTGTTAATATAATAGAAAAATATAAATGGACGAAAGTGTGAGGCGTGCGAGGTCAAATCAATAAGCTTACCGTTGGGTATGTGTTATTGCGGGCATTACTGTCAGACACCACCAGAAGATGAGGAACAAAAAACAACATAAGCTAATATAAATCCAATTGAATTCGAAGAGTCCAGTGAAATAACGAGAAAACTACTCAAAATGCAGTAATCTAATAAACTAAGGGTCTCAAACTCAATTTACCCAGGGGCCGCTCGAGGAAAGTCTGAGTGAGTCCGGGCCGCATCAGGTTTTCCACAAAATAAAAATTCTTTATTTTCTTGAACACAAAACAAGTCGAAAATTTAAATGAAACAATTAAGACTCAATATAAAAATAACCGAAGAGGAGTCAATAACTACTTTATTAAGAGTCAAATGTCGGTATTACTATATTAAAAAGTTCTTCAGTATTCTATCTAGTCTAGCTACCAGGTACCTGGCAGCGCTTTCTGTCGCATAGCCGAGCCGGTTCCATTACATTTGAACCCACGTACATTTGAACCCATGACAATTGCACCTGCATACTATTGCACCTATGGAAATTTTTTTGTTGTACGGATAGTTGAACCCATACTAACCCTAACCCATGGGTTTCAGCACCCGCATATTGATTGAACCCGCGGATATAGACATGGGTTCAAATGTACGGTCACCAGCCGAGCCACATTGGGTTTGAGTGAGGAAACGACCCTCAGTATGGATTTAAGATGTTCATCAGCCAGTTTGGACCTATACTTGGATTTGTCAAAGTTCGAGGTAGAAAAGATATTTTCACACAAATATGTGCTCCCAAAAAGACTTATGGTCCGCTTGTAGACTTTTCCACTCATCTCCCTAAATCTCGCTTTGAGTTCAGAGTTACGCTGTATGTCAATGAGTTCCATTTGAAGCACTTTGGGGGGGGGGGGGGCATCTTGCACATCAAAGGAGAAGGGGTCTGCAAAAAATTGAAAAGTGACTCCGTGCGTCTTAAAATCAGCAAATATGCGATCAAATTCTTCTTCAAATTCTGTAGCTTCGATATCGCGTCAACATAATTCTCACCACTAAATGGTGTGCCGGCATCAGCAAGTGCCTTGCATGTTGAAAAATGGCAGAGGTTTGTCTGAAGGAGCTGGACTTTTCTCAACACTAGTTTTGTGGAGAATGCTTTCACATTGTCATAGGCATCACTGACAAGCTGCTCAGGGCCTGCTAACTCCTTGTTGAGTATATTAAGCTCGTGTGTGATATCAACAAGAAAAGCTAAGTCCACTAGCCATTTGGGATCACTTAGCACCCATCATTCTCCACGAAGGCTTTGACTTCTGCTCTCAATTTGAAAAATCTTTTCAATACCTTTCCCCTGCTGATCCAACGTACCTCGGTGAAGTTCTGATTCCCCATATTCTGACTCAATTTCCTGCAAAAAACACGGAATCTTCGGTGTTTTAAGCCCTTTGGATCTGATTTGGTTGATGCATTTCACAACGACAGACATCACATTGTCAAACTTCAGGCATTTGCTGCAAAGGGCCTGCTGATGAATAATGCAATGGAGAGCAATGCCCTCCTCTACACCCTTCTCTTTTAGTTTTTTTTTTAACAAGCGCCACCAGTCTATTTTTCTTTCCAGTCATGGTGCGCCATCGGTTGTTATCCCAGCAATCTTCTGCCATAGCAAACCGGCATTTTTTGACATCACATAACTGGCAAAACATCTCCTGAGCTGTGGTCTGGCCATACATTGGAACTACTCTGAGCAACTCCTCCATCACTTCAAAATTGTCATTAACACCACGGACATAAATTGCAAGCTGGGCAGTATCTGTGATGTCTGTGGTCTCATTAATGGCGACTGAGTATACACTGAAACATTTGGCTTACTCACACAGTTGGCCATAAATGTCACTTGACAGGTCAGAAATACGCTTTGCCACTGTGTTGGCAGAAAGGCTGAAATTACTAAACTGGCCTTTCTTTTCTGGACAGATAATACTTGCAGGCTGTAATAAGCACTTTTTTACAAATTCACCTTCTGTGAATGGCTTTCATGCGATATTCTC